GGTTTAGGGTTGAGCCAAGTCCCAATCTACAGTGGCTGCGATTTATATGGGGTCTCTGGGGTTTAGGCTCTGCAGTTGATAGGATTATTTTTGTGTTGGCTCATGTTGTTTCGTTTTTCGGAATCTTGGAATCTAGCGGTGGGATGAACCGTAAACCCTGAATTTGACAACGCTTTTCGTATGGAATACCCGGACCTTCCAATATAATATACTTGAAGCCATAATAAAATCCCTAGTGTCATTTACAAGATATTCCTTAATTATGGGACTGTGGAAGATCCGAATGGCCGCCTGCTTCGTTGCCTCCGTTTTTGTTTAGGTTCGGGCTTCCGATGCTAAGGTTGAGGAGCCTGACTTGAGCTCGCAGAATATTATGACCCACACGTAGCTGTTGGGAAAGGCAACGTTTACACCCTAACTTTTGGTTCTTGTATACCCTAAACCCTCAACCCTAANNCTAAATCCTAAACCCTAACTCCTAAATCCTAAACCCTAAACCTTAAATCCTAAACTCTAACTCCTAAACCCGAAATCCTAAACCCTAAACCCTAACTCCTAAATCCTAATCCTAAACCCTGAACCAGGGAACTTCAGGATGGATTCAGGGCCGGGGGTCTCTTGCGAAGCCTCAGGAAGCCGGTTCAGGGTTTGGGGATTGGGGTTTAGGGTGCAGGGCTTTGGGTTTAGGGCTTAGGGTTTGGGGTTTAGGGTTTAGGGTTTGGGGTTTAGGGTTTTCTGTTTAGGGTTTGGAAATTTGGGTTTGGGGTTTAGGGTTTAGGGTTTGGGGTTTAGGGTTTAGGGTTTGGGGTTTAGGGTTGGGGGTTCAGGGTTTAGGGCTTTGGGTTTAGGGTTCAGGGTGTAGCATTGGGGGTCCAGGGTTTGGGGTTTTGGGTTCAGGGTCTAGGGTTTGGGGTTTAGGGTTCGGGGTTTAGGGTTCAGGGTTTAGGGCTTATAGCATGTGCAGAGTGTTGTCCTGCAAAGACAACGAGCGCAAGCTCAACACAAAGTATCGAGCTGGTTTAGGGTTTAGGGCTTAGTTTGGGTTTAGGTTTGTTTGAACAAGACGGTTGCTCATAGTGTCTGTTGGCAAGGCGATGGGAGGCGATCCAGAAGTCCTCAAGCCTAAACCCTAAAACCCTAAACCTTAAAGCCCTAATTGCTAAACCGTAAGTTTTAAAGCGTAAGCCCTAAACCCTAAACCCTAAACCCTAAACCCTAGACCCTAACCTTAAACCCTAAACCCAAAAAAGGAACCTAGACCCTATAAACCCTAAATGGTTGTAAAGCCTCCGGGCCCTCCGCGGCTCTCTGACGTTCAAGCTCATGCGCACACTGGTGCTCGAGGAACCCGCGAAGGTCCCTTGCACCTTTTCAAAGAGCACAACGGACCGACCATCCCAAGCAGATCGACCACCAGCACCACCACAACAACAACAATAATAATAATATTAATAATAATAATAGTAATAATAATAATAATAACAATAACAATAATAATAATAATAATGTTATTATTAATTTTAATAATAATCATTACCAACAACAACAACAACAACAACAACAACAACAACAACCACGACGACGACGACGACGACGACAACGACAACAACACCAACACCAACACCAACACCAACACCAACACCAACACCAACACCAACACCACCACC